AGTTGTTTAGGTGACCAAGTACTTTCGGATGGTGACCATATTAGTTCAGAACTCTCTCACTACGCAGCGCTAGTGTGCATGTGCAATTCCTATATAAACTGTATCTCGAGAGCCTGGCCATATAGAAAGTTGCTGTTTTCAGCAAAGTTGGGCAGGTGATCAAGTCCTTTTGGATGGTGGCCATATTAGTTCAGAACTCTCTCACTACGCAGCGCTAATGTGCATGTGCAATTCCTATGTAAACTGTATCTCGAGAGCCTGGCCATATAGAAAGTTGATGTTTTCAGCAAAGTTGTTCAGGTGACCAAGTCTATTCGGATGGTGGCCATATTAGTTCAGAACTCTCTCACTACGCAGCGCTAGTGTGCATGGGCAATTCCTATATAAACTGTATCTCGAGAGCCTGGCCATATAGAAAGTTGCTGTTTTCAGCAAAGTTGTGCAGGTGTGAACTAATATGGCCACCATCCGAAAGTTCTTGGTCACCTAAACACCTAAACTCAAGACAGTAACTTTCTATATGGTCAGGATCACGAAATATTCTATGTTGGAAATATGATCCATATATTATAGCGCCCGTCATAAGTAACATAAAAGTGAAGCGCCTCTAGCGGCGTAGTTCCCAATTTAACCTGAATCCAATGGCACAGGCTTGTTGGTCTAACCCAGTACAGCAACTTTGTCGAAGACAGTATAGCTTTATGTATTGAAACAAATGAGATAATCCACTACAGCCCCCATTAGTGAAAATCCCATAAGCTGTGGGTATCCTTATTCGCGGATAGCCCGGCAATAAGGATCCGGCAATAAGAGATACCGGCAATAAGGAATCCGGCAATAAGGATTCCTGACTGTATGTACTTCCTTCAACCACAGACATACATATGTAACTCTTCATTCTGGATCATTGTTCACGCATTTAACGACTGATTTGAATACCGTGGACCCCCGTTAATCTGAACGACACTTTCTATAATTTGAACTTCTAGTAACCCTATGCCCATCACTAAAGTGAGTTTCTGGCGACCTTATTTGCTGTTTTGTTTTGATTCTACGCTACGTTCAGTTTCGAATAGTTCCATTTCTCTTTACTCTATTCCATGTGCTAAATGTCGTTTGAACAAATTTTAGTTTGCACGGCGTGCAGATTAGCGGGGTTCAAATTAAAAAGTGTTCAGATTAAAAACGGTCACATTAACGGGGGTCCATGTGTAGTGACGTTTCAATATATTTACTTTTTGATTTTACGGTTTAGCGACTTTGCAGTCAATTTAATTGTTTATAGGAAAGTTTGAACATACTGAGAGGTAAGCACATATCATCGGTAAGAGACGTGTGTGTGAGAAAATTTGGATGATATGTACTTACCTCTCAGTATGTTAAAACTTTCCTATAAACAATTAAATTGACTGCAAAGTCGCTAAACCGTAAAATCAAAAAGTAAAAGTAATTGATATTCATCAACTACGGCCCGGTGGTCGGAGGTGAGGCCGGCAGCTCAAAATGTTATAGTCATACTGTACTGGACATATTTCAGCATGTAAGATGTACAACAAAAATGAGCTGTGTTTGTTCACATCGACTGATACTGAGTGGTTGCGGTACAAGCACATATCGTCGATAATAGACGATTGTTGTGTATCAGAGAACGCTTGCGCAAAAAGGCTAGGGTGGGGGAACGGATTCGAAACTCAAATGTCATTAGCCAAATACATCCGTAGACCATAGGTCCACCGTTGTATAATTGGCAATGCACCCGTGTACTGAATGGGAATTGTGGGTTCGAATCCCACCGGTGCCCTTAGATTTTTTCGCAAATTTTCTCACACACACGTCTCTTACTGATGATATGTGCTTACCTCTCAGTATGTTCAAACTTTCCTATAAACAATATATTTACTTTACCTAGCATGCAGCATTGTTCACGACTTTGCGAGCAAACTTATTTTCCGCGAGAAGCACGAGAGATGTCGTTACTGATGTCCTATTTTTGGAGGTACAATGAGTTTAAGAAGAACTTATTCAATGAGTTACGTCTGTTTGTCTATGCTTCAACTTAGCTGCTGAAGCCTAAAATAGCCTTTTATTAGAACTTTTGGTTACTTGGGAGATTCTAATACAAGTTCCATTGCATTTGACTCCTATGAGGGTATGCTCCAACCGGCATTATCCTCGGATTAAATCCCGTTTAAGAATGTCCGACTGCTTTGATGTTGACACGACTTTATGCAATCATTTTGTAGCTCATGCAGACAGGGTCGGTATTAAAAGTTAATCCGAGCTGGAGCTCACCGCCATTGTAGAATCTTATTGAATTTTATCTCAATTATACATTTGGTTCCCAATATTCGAACATAACATTTACATTCCACACTTTGTATTCAACCTACTTTTCTCGGGAATAACTGAACCGATTTGAATTAAATTAGCTTCAGTTGGGTTTTAACTGATTCTGATAGAATTGGATATTTGGTTCTAGGTGTGAACAAAAATGTGAAATTTGTTGTCAATAATTTATTAGAATATCTTTGGGAATTATATAATTCCGTATCTTGCGACAAGTAATGACTCAAAGTGAGCAAAATTCCTATTGTATTGCAAAAAAACCGGTGTTCAGATGAACTCAAAAACTCATATCTCATGCTTGAGATTATTTAGCTATGACTATGAGTTTTGCCTTGCACAATTTCACAGCGCAAGAACAACCGATGAGATTCCTCGATTAAAAATTTATTGCTTTGTATTTTTTTTCTGCATTAATCTATTGAAAACTAACAAAACATTCATTGGCGTGTGATCGTGAGATTTGTTTTGCAGAGTCACACGTGAGTTTATTCTTTCGAAAGGGCTCTTGAGTATTATTTTTCAAACACTGTGTTACATGGGCTTTCTATGCGCATTCACACTATCAGCATGCTGCCTATCTTGCTGCCTGCAGGCAGAAGATGCCTTCTTACGCTAGGTGCGCTAGTGTTCGCCAATTAATAGTGGAACCACATTCTGATCTGAAGTTCCACTTCTGTTCTGTGGCCAAATAGAAGGTGCCTTGGCCCAGAAATTGGTCAACTGGTTCCGGAGATATCGCCAAAACATGTCCCAAGATCAATGGCTGTCATACAGGATGCCCTAGATCATATTGCATTGGGCAAATCCGTACATGTTCCGGGTACCCCCGGGGAAGTGGTAAAAATCATGTTGAATCAGTACCCATAATGAGACACATAAAATCACATAATCAGTACCGTAAAACGGGGTATCTTTGATAATGCGGGTAACTTTGATAGTATAATATAAAGATTAAATTTACTCGCTGCGCTTTTTCCAAATTAGAAACTTTGGTTCCATATTGTAGGTTAAGGTATTTCCGTTGATATCGTATATAGTTTTTATCTAGTATGTGCAACATATTATACAAACATATTAAAAAACCATTTTCGTGTTTTTTGCCTGTTTGAAAAAAACACTCAACCATTACATTTGACATGTATTTTTGATATAGCCATAACAAATTCAATGTTGTATTCTTATTGCTTATGAGGTTTTCTGATTATATACTCATTCAAAGTTTCATATTTCTTGAACTGAATTGTTTAAGTTTTACCCATTTTTTTCTACATTCATCGAGCATTATCAAAGTAACCCCAAATCAAAATACTGAAGCTCGGTCACAAGTACCGAGGTCTACATTGGCCACATCTCTATATGTTCCGGGTAGTAGCAGAATCTGTATTAAGTCAAAAGACAAACACTGCGACAGCTCAAATCACATGATAAATTAAAATCTTGATCATTGGCGGTCATATTGAGTGCCCAGGACCACATTGGCTAAACCTGGACATGTTCTAGTTGCCCCAGAGGAAGTAGCTAGATTCTGATTTGAAGAGTCAAATGTCATACTACGTTATCAACGGCTTTTATATTGGTTAGAATGGTCAGCTCGCACCATAGGTGCATTAATTCATAAAATTTGCACAGAACCTAGAACATCTTATACACATGGAATTTAAACGTTAATATTGTGCCCAGTATATATGAACTTGTTTGGAGAAGCATCGTTACTAAGGGCATTGTATAAGTCATTGTTGATCTGGTAGATCATTTCATCTGAATTCCAGGATAACTTGGAGAACCTTGAGCATCTTATATACCTCAAACTATATTGTAATCGATGCACAAAAACTCTGTGTAAAAGTTGGGACAGGACGTCGTACTTGGTTGATCCAGTAGATCGAATAGCCTGAACTCCTGGACAATTCGGAGTACCTAGAACATCTTATACACATGGAATTGAAACGTAAAAATGCATACAAACTATATGAACTTGTTTGGAGATACATCGTTACTAAGAGCGTTGCATAAGTCATCGTTGGTCTGGTAGGTCATTTTATCTGAACTCCAGGGTAATTTGGAGAACCATGGGTATTATATTTCGGGAACATCGCAGTCTTTCCAATAAAAAAAAGTAGTTAATTGATGATTGACGCATGCTTAAAGTAAATGTGGTCAACGAAGTGCAGATAATTTTTTTTTCTGTGTGCGAAATGTGATCTCTTGTAGCGAAAGTGTAATGAAATCGTCTACAACCGTGTTTTCAATTGTTACTTCAGTGATGTGTTTGTATGAGAACTTAAGTGGAATAAACTTGAAGCAATGCAAAAGCTTGATTGATGCGCGCTTCAAAGCTTCGAAATGAACCCGGCGATGGGTTTGTATGATTAAAAGTGTATTGATATAGCCAATTCGAAGGGTTTTGAATTGATGAGAGTGTACAATTTTTTAAAACTTTTAATCATTGAATGACTTTTTTGTTTTGAATGATTGGCTAAAAATGAATTCACTGGATACTCATAGGCAATAAACACTGAAACAAAATCTCATAAGCAATGGGTAAGGTAATGGGAACAAATTTTCCATATTTATCTTTTTGATTGAGGATTTCAAATCCAAAACAGCTACTCTTTTGCTGAATGTTAGTAAGGGTAAGGGGTTGAAAAAAATACCTCGTTGCTCCATTGATTGTTGTAGTACTATAGAGGGTTGGTTACGGAAATTGAAAGAATTTTATTTACAAGTACTATCGTGAGTTGTGTGTATGTGTGTGAAATGTTGTTTGATTTTTTTTCTTTCCGGAGTTAGATGTAAATTTGAAGATTAAAGCATCATGTTTTTAGAAGAGTATTTTACGTTGTACATACGCCAATAGGGTGTTAGAGAGACAATGGGATTTGAAGGTGTTAGCACGGAAACCGATTTAGAATGAATGAATTTTAGTACTGTAGGTATGTCAGATTAGGTATGACGGTAGTGCAAGAGAAGAAGAAGAGGTAGGTTGCTGAGAAATACGTACCGCCCTGGTAGCCATCATAACAGAAGGCTCATGCTGTGGAGTTTCTTGCATGATCAGTTGCTGATCCTCAGTTGCATCCATGTCGATCATCATATTGTGCTGCTGCATGGTTGGGCTGTAGGGTGGAGCCGCATCGGTGTCCATAGGTCCAGTAGAGTTTTGCGGGTAGTTTTCGGACTGGCGTTCGGGAATGCAAATCAAGGAGAGATTAATACAAATTAGTAGTGGAGGAACAACACTCCGTGAAGACAGATCCCACTCAGAATGACCAATATACCTGTGAATTGCCTCTCTTTCTCAATCCGGCGGAATGTTTGTAGTTTTTATAGCAGCCAACACCGGTCATGGCAGGATTGCGGCCACCGCCCATTGAATCGCCCTCTTCGGTGCTGTTTCCATCCCCGGTCGAGAGATTGTGCCCTACGCCAAGATAAATGAATAATCAAATCGAAAATAATTGTCAATTGGACAACTATTTGGCCTGGTTCTGGGGAAGCACACGCACACACGTATTTTGCTAGAAGGAGCGCAAGTTTTGCTAAAAGACAAAGTAGTAGTAAGACAGACAGTTGAGTTGGACTTGTGCTCGCTCACTATTCTATCTCTAGCGTTATTAGTACATGGTTTAGTCTATCTGAAGTCTATTCCTAGATGTCAGTTAATTTCTATACTAGCATACTGTTCGTTTATCCTCTAGACAGCAATAGAAATATGCTTCGACATTCATATGTGTGTGTGTGAGAGATAGAGAGACGTAATACTTGATCATTTTCTTGCATATGTATGTACTTCGCATCGCACGCAAGCCATTTCTTAAGACTAGAGATATCAGATTCACTTACTAAACACACTTAGATTAGAGATTGAAAGATTAAGACAGACGTGGACAAAAGTGGCTTTGACATAAACCAAAAACAAAGAAAGATTTAAGAAGCTACAAAGAATAAAAAAAATCACACCAGGTTTTGCGGATCGATAGTACACATCAACAGAAACGAAAACCGAACCAAAATGGAACAACATTTCCTACATTCACACAAGCATGTTTTATCAGAGTTGTCAACAACCGGGAGGAAACAGAAACATTCAAGTGCCAACTAAAAAAATAATATACTGAAACAGTTGTTTTGTCCAAAAATGTGTTCAATTTATTTTGACTGATTATTCCTTTCAATTTTAACCTAGAGTTAAACATAATATTTCATACAAGGAAAGTTTTAATTGTTGCATGTTCTGCTGTCAGGATGCTATTCATTATGGATCATTGGATTTCCTTTGATTCTTTCTATTGTTGTTTTTTTCTGGGTTTGTGAAGTTTGTAGTTTTGTACATAAAAAGCTGTATTCTCCGTTTGGTTCTTGGTTTCCCTCAATGTTTGATTAAAATGTGGTGTTGATATAATTAGGTTTGTGTTCGTTACTTCCTAGCGACTGACTGGGAAAGGCTCAAAAGATGTCTTGAAAATATTGCGAGTTACGGCTTTTGGAACGCGTTCAATGTGTATGGATAGAAACTACAGTACAGTATTGATTTGTATGGACGTAAGTGCGTATTCAAAATTGGTAAGAAAGCATCGAGGATGATTCGTTATTTTGTAGAATCTGCGGTCTATCGATCGTTACAGTAGGTTTATGTTTTATTCGTTTTCATAATATTTGAGATTTAGAATGGTCATATTTCCTGTTGGACGGCATGTACAACCAATGCACAGTGGGAAAAAATAAATAAAAAATATAATTAATGGGCAATATCAATGCGGTTACATACCGTATTGATGATATTTGAAAAAGATAATTTTCACACTTTAATGCGATTAGTGCATCCGGCAATTGTTCACATACTTTTAGAAATTTGTTTATTTAAAATTATAAAGAGTTTCATCGAAATCAAACATCATTTCCCTATCATATTCAAGTTGATTTGATCACATCCCTAGTAGCACGCTTGTCACAAATCGGTAGTGGCAACTTCTATACAACTTATATCAGTCATAAACAAGTTGCTGCAACTTTTTGTGACGGAAATGTGCTACTCGGGATGAAGTACTACACTAGTTCTATGTTTCAAAAATATTTTTAAACCATAACTTACACAACATTGGCGCAGTTTTGGTACAATTGCTTTTAGTTATATTAATTTTCTCACTGTGCAAGGTGAGGTTTCTATGAAGAATTTGTGCTCACTATTTTTGTTGGTTTGTTTTTGGATTTGATTTTTTTTTTTTAATTATAAACAAAAAAAAGCAAAGGCGTTCTAATCAGCTTTTCCAGCTGTGATATATCAGATTGTGGTAATTTACGATTTGGTAATGACTACGAAGAGCAATGGTGGAAAATCAAACCCCCCAAGTGCCGAATTTCAGATTGAAATCTAGGTAACAGATTGTCAACGCACAGTGGGAAAAAAACCAGCCGCCTCAGTTGTGACGCCGCTGGATTTCAAACGTGAAGTGAAGCTTTCCTTATCGAAAATTTGCCAATAAATCGATTGGTTTAGGTTTCGTTCTGTGCCGGACCCGGAAAGTGGTCAATTTTGCACAATTTCTCCCTAAATCTGTGTCATTTTGAGTAGGCACTGAAATTTTTGACCGAAGAGCAGCATATCTTACGTGAAAAAAATGCGAAGGCGGAAACGTACGTCAGACTGACGGTTGAGTCCAGCCGGATTGGACTTCCCGAGCAAAGTGTGTTAAAAAAATGAAAGCAAATCGATATTAAAATTCTCAGTTGCTATGATAATGAAAACTCATTTTGATTTCAAATATAGCGACCAAGGAATCAAAAATATCTCCAAATGGCAAAATGACAAGCGATCAACGAACCGAATGATAACGCTATGTCAGAAGTGGAAAGCAATAATGATACAATCTTCTTCCTTTTTTTCATGACAAGCAACCCGTGCGACACAGCTCACCCCGAGTGAGGAAAGAAGGAACCCGCAACAAAGCAGACAAGCAATATATCATTATCCTTCTACCACTCCGATCGAGCTATGTTACAAAGCGAGTTTATCATGGTAGTCGTAGCAACCGAATTTTATGCATGTTTTTGAATCCGTCAGGAAAAATTTCGATAAATAAATTGTTCCGGAGCTATTCCGGTTTTCGTTAGGTTCACTTTGGGTCGGCATTCGGCCTTACTGTTCGGTACTAATTATACACACGGTGAACATAATATTTTCTCGTTCAAATGATGTAATTGGACCAACGGCGGCAATACCGATGGTCTATGATTCAATTGGGCATCACAGAAAAGTTCCGGCGAACCCGGGGAAATGGCCAATTTTGAAAAAGAACCAAATCCCGTCGTGCGACATATCAAACTTTATAATTTTACAAAACATGGCCGGTAATGGCCTTATTGACAGTCTACGGTCACACTAGCCCTCCCGGGCATGTTCCGGTACCCTCGGTGAAGTGGTCAATTCACGACAAAGAATCAAAATCTGTCACCCATTAGCATGTTCTGGTGCCCCCGTAAATGTTTCGGTGCATGAATTTGTAGAACTCGGCCAATAATGGCCTTATTGAGAGTCCACATTTCTTGACAACTACTGAACCAAATTGGACTTGTTCCTAGTTGGGTCAGTTTTTGAGTAATTGAGAAAAACTAAATGTTCTCAAAAGCAGAGGCGTAGCATAACTGGATGAAACCCGGACGGGAACACGGGTGTATTTTTGTGAGCGAGGGGAAGGGGAGGGATTAGTTAGTAGTGTCTTCAATGTTGATAATCAAATTTTTCTTTCGATCCACCCGCCCCTGCTACAAAGCACTATTATTAGTCCGCAAAGGTAATTAATAATGTATTAATTTATTTAAGACTTGACGCGTGAAATTTGCGTGAATCACACAGATCAAAACAAACTCGGCACGACTGTCAATATTTGCGGGTGAAGAAAGGAGATGGGGAGATTTAGGTTAGGTTTCGTTGACTTCATTTGAGTTGTTTGCCGATGGAATACGTTTCAGTTCTGTGTGTCAAATGTGTTCAGTTGCCATTTTTATCATGGATAGTGACGGATGGATACTTCTGAAGAAGTGAGGATCATCAATCTTTATACACTTCTTGTTGGAAATTTTCCATTTCCCCGGGGGCATCGGAACATTTATAAGGGCACTGGAACCTGCCCGGGAGACCCCCCAATATGACCGTGGACTCTCAATAAGGTCATTACTGCCCGAGTTCTGCAAAAGCATGAAGCTTGATGTGTCGTGAGAAACATGAATGCTAATAATTTTCGCCAGGCCCGTATTCAGTTAAATATTATGAATGTATGATCAGTAATCAAATTGATTTCATTGAAAGCAGGATTAGATTTCCGTTGAATTCAACAGTATAAAAATTTGGTTTTTTTTTTAAATTGAGTAATCGACATTTCTTACATCAAAACAGCAAATTTTGTTTTTGATTTGATCCCTAACTTTGTTCGGGTTGCGATCAATGCATCGAAGACGAAATACATGAGACGAAGAGGTTCTAAGGAAGACAATGTTAGCCTCCCGCCCAGAGTTCAGATTGACGGTGACGAAATCGAGATGGTCAACGATTTTGTGCATCTGGGGTCACTGGTGACCGCCGAAAATGATAGGGTAGAGAATTACTTCGGCCTAATCGACCATTTTGGGCCTATTGAGCAGACAATCTATATCTATATATGTATATAGAAAAGAATTTCTGTCTGTCTGTCTGTCTGACCCTTATAGACTCGGAAACTACTGAACCGATCGGCGTGAAAATGTGTATGCAGGGGTTTTGGGTCAGGGGAAGGTTCTTATGATGGTTTGAGACCTCTGTAAAGGGGGGGGGGGGCTTATACAAATGAAACAGAATTTTTTGCATAACTCGAGAACTAATCAAGCAAATGGAACCAAATTTGGCATGTGAAGGTCATAGGAGGTAGCCCCTTAAATATGAGGGGGGGGGGGGGGGTACGTACAATATAGCATGCTTTTTCAAATTGGCGCATAATATTGCTAATATTGAATCCCGAGCAAGGCCGGGCACACTCAGCTAGTTTTAAATAAATGAAAGTATATTTGTATGGATGTTTTTGTATCACATACAATGATAGAAGAGCAATAGTTTGTATCGCTTAACTCGATTTGTTTACATTTGTTACTTAGGACCTTTTGAAAAGTGACGTGAGAGTATTGGATTTATCTGTTGTTTTTCCTTGATTTGTTTTCCGATTTGTTTTCTATGCTGAGCTCCAATGCTACCGGCGCCAGGGAGGTAAGCTCCCCCTAATAAAGTTTGAATGGTTATTTTGCTTAACGACGTGTTCAGGGTATCATCCAAACCATTTGTGGAATAGTTCTATCATTTGGCTTATCGTTCGGGTGTGGTATTTTTATTGAATGTACCCCATTAGGCATAAATACTTTAGGCATAATGGGCGTTAGGCATAAAGTCATTAGGCATAATGGACGTTTGGCATAATATACGTTAGGCATAAAATTCCTTGCTGCTGTGCAACTCTAGAAAACTGTTTCGAGCATGGTAAACAATGAAATCCATTATTTATCATATCATAAGTTTTTTTTTAATTTTATTTTTGAGATTTTTAGCCTTAGGCTAGTTTAGCTCTTGATATCATAAGTGACGAAACTACATATTTACTTAGATCCAAGATAAGTAGCGACAGCGGTTAGGTAATCTGGCAACAAAACTCAGCATAGTTTTTTTTTTATTAAGTCTTGAAATCAATCGCATATAGAAATAATAAAGCACACATTTGTTGTAATATATTCTAACACACATATTGCAAGTCCGGGAAACTTTGAGATTTGGGCGTAATTGCTTTTGTAAACAGACATGTCAATCACTGATCGCGAATAAAAGAAAAATCTCGTGAACAAACTATACCAAATGATAGAGGAACCATTCATCTGCCTGTTTGTGTTGTTTGTTTTTGAGATTGAGCTTTAATTCGCGAGAAATCGTCAAATGAAGTGTTTGTTTACAAAAACAATTACGCCCTAATCTCGAATTTCTCCGGAAATGTCAAAGAAGAAAAGGTTTTCCTCAAAGAACAGCTCATGAAATAAAGAATGGTGAACTCTGTGATTTTTCATTCAATAACAAAAAAAAAAACAGCTAAGATTGAATAAAAGATGATGCCAAAGAACAGCTCATGAAATGAAGAATGGTGAATTCTGTGGTTTTTCATTCAATAACAAAAACATATCTGATGCTTCGAGGATTTATTCCCATACTTTTCGATACAACGATTAAGTTTTTGTTGTCATCAGAATGAATACTAGCAGAACCGATTGCTGATGTGAGGGAGCGATACTTCCATGAACAGTGACGAGTTGCCGAAACAAACAAGGAACTGTGGCAAACGTACCATCTGCAACCAAATACTTTGCCTGTCCAAGATGTCGCAAGTTTTCATGAGTCCCAAAAATTAAGGCTCTTTTATTATTGTCACCGATGTCAGCAATCAATACAATTATCAATTATCATCCTTCTGGAATTCAACGGGTAGATTATGCCTAACGTCTATTATGCCTAACGTCTATTATGCCTAACGTCCATTATGCCTAACGTCCATTATGCCTAACGTCCATTATGCCTAACGTCCATTATGCCTACCGTACATTATGCCTATCGTCCGTATGCCTAACGTCCGTATGCCTAACATCCGTATGCCTAACGACCGTATGCCTAACGACCGTATGCCTAACGTCGTGTACCCATTTTTATTAGGGCCCACACTTGGATGGACCCTACCTATCGACCCATCAAACTCATGAACCGGGGACCAACGGCTTTACTTCGTGATCAGAGATGTTATGCCTCAGAACATCCCGACGGCGCCGACTGCTGGGGTGAGACGGTATTACGCTTACCACGCACCGGTGCCGCTGGATTTATCATGATCCTAAAGACTTTAAAACCTTGCTTGTAATGTTACTTGGGAGATTATCACAGCTGGAATTCTAACGATTTAGACGGCATATGAGCTTCGTTCTTCATAGAAACCAATTCAGTTAGTTTTCGCATTATACCGTGTAGTGTTCCATTTGCTAAAACGAAACATTAACATCATTCACAACGCAGCAGTCTTTTGCTTTAAGCATTCTATGCATATTCTAGGACGTAGAAAACCAGATAAAGCGTCGTCGGCGGGAATTATCAGTTTTTGATCACTATATAGTAAAGCAAAGCTCTCAGTAGGTAGTTTTTTTTTTGCATGTTGAATAAGCACGAATTTCGTCAATACTACAGACGATGCACAGGAAAAGCCCTGACAGATTGATTGTTTTCGGTAGCAGCATGTTTTAGGAGTAATCTAAGCTCTTTTAGGGCTGTTTTTATTTGCAACACAATTTGGAGCTAGTTTGAGACGGATTTTCATTACAAGCTACTATATAGTGACGGTCGCAGTTCATTGTTGAAGGGAGCAGTTGAATTTCTGAGTATATATTAAGCATTGCAGCAACAATGGTTTAGACTAAAGGTGATTGGATATCCTAATCTGTGCTTTGCCGTTCTTTTGATTTGTTGGAAGTAGAAGGTGATTCAGAATAGTTGATTGTTGCTGCTTGTTGATATAGTTTTAGATAATTTAAGGTCTTGAGAATATGTTTGATTTGTAGTCCTAACTAAGCTGGAGTCTAGGACTCGTTGATCTCGATGTTTTGTTTGCTTATTTTACACTTAGCCTTTAAGGATGGGTCTTTACTTTTTACAGCCTTTGGTTGTTTTGGTATTTGGAACTTTGTAGTTATGCAAGACATTGACTTACAACTACGTTGATATGAGTGCATACAACAAGGTGTGTAGATGTTGTGATAGCTTGCGGATTTTACACATTTACAGCTGGATGCTTGGGAGTCGTCTTATCTAGCAATCTACGAACCCAGCAGTGTGTAAGGTTACTGTTATGTGGTTTTACGACATCAATAATGGCCGTGCCCTAAGGCATGGGACCGACTTGCGGGTCTTGGCATAGAAGGATTGGCTATCTAATAATATCGCTAAAATTGTTTATCGTACTCGGTGATTCGGCTCGTAGCTCTTCGTTCAACTCTGCCAATCTGGATGATAGCGGTGGCTGTCGTCGTCTGGCGGCCAACGGTGTGACCACAACCGATTCAGGGGGTGATTCCATCAGGTCACTTTGTTCACCTGGCAAGGAGTTCATGGGTCAACCGGTAATTAATAGGCTTATAGTTCTACAATAGAATCCGAAATCTAGCTTTGCTTCGAAATAATGTACCGAAATCTAGTTTCTATGTGTTCTAATCATCGTTAACGACCAGCAATATTTTCCTCATCGATTTCATCCTGTGTCCACCAATAATGTATCCAATCAGTCATGTTTCAGTGTTCCGAAACCAAACGGTAACTTAATAGAGAGCAGTGAGTTCCTGAACGTCGGAAATATATTGCTAATCATTTAGGATGCCTTAAAAGCGAATTATATTAAAAAAATGAGACATTTTTTTTCCACTGGTCGGTGCTTCCAATAATTCGAAAAAGTAGCTAATGAACGATCTATTTTATGTATCTTACATGGATGCAGCTATTCAATGAATACTTCTGAATGATGCTGTTGAGGGGACACTTGGAATCGTATTCTCAGTACAAACAAGCGTCTCTAATAATTTGTCAAGGGAAATGCATTTTACAGGAAAGCAGGGGTATCTAATCGAACCAACTAAATCAACTAAGGTCGAACCGAAACGAACAAAACAGTAGTTAGAAAATATTGCTGGTGTTTTTGTGTTACTTGTTTATTACAAACTTAGGCCGTCAATCAAAACCTTCACGTACTTCAGTTGCTTACTAGTGGTATATAGCCTTAAAGCTAAGATGGTATGTATCGAGAGTTTTCAATTCGATATTTACGAGTGTAGTTCAAGCTACTGCAATTTATGCTAAATTTACCTCTCGACCTCGAGGTCTCAAGACAACTCGCAAAAACTTGGCCGGTGTCCGGAAATGTGCCTTTCCACTTTGTGTTCACCGAGGAACTGCACGTGCTCTTCGGGGTGTAGCCATTATTTGTTCCGTATATTGTTGTTTTGCCGCAGTCATATACCACAGTCCGCTCACTGACCGTGCCGTGGGTTGGTTAAATTATTCAGCTGGTCATTTTTTCGTCTTCTTTGTACTTGTTCGATCTGAGTGCAGGGAGTTACCTTTGTGCCACTCTGGAGGGGTTACAAAGTTTAGATGTGGCAGGTGGTAACAACAGCAGTAGCAGCAGCAGCAGCAGCAGCAACAGAAGAAGCACGTTGTTCTTGGCAAGAAGTTTTGTACAGCTTCATCCTATGGCCATCATTTCGTAGCGGGTGGGGCTGCAACAGATGTCCTTGAAGTAAAATTGCTTATGTTTCCTGTTGCAATAGCTATAAATGTCGGAGAATTCAGCAGCCTAGTAGCAACGGTGGTAGTGGTGATGACTAGCGCGCCTAGCACAACTGGTGAGCTCGGGAGCCTTGGGGCGAATTTAGGTGAAGGTTGGCTGCGAACTGGGGAAATATGAGGCCGTCGGTTTTGTGGTTAATGTTCTGAGTAGTCTCATTGGCCTAGCTGTGGCCCTACTGAAGCAGGTTATTGTCGATTAAGGGTTTGTATAAAAATGTAAATTTTACTTTGTGAGACAGTTTAAAGAATAGCATCTACATAGTATTGGATTTTGCATTTTTGTTTTTCTTAGTAATAATAATAATGGAATTCTGTTGAAACGGCTAACCATGTTTGACGAGAGGGGTACCGAGGTTCAATAATATAAAATAAATCTGACTATACTACTGTGTCAAACGAGACGTTGTGTTGTGAGATGTCTAAATTGTCTGGACAAAATATTTAAGATTCCAAAATCTTGAAAACCAGTGTTAAAAAATCTTGAAATTCAGAGAATTCTCTTTAATTTAATTCAAAGTGTTTTTATGTTACTTCATACGCGAAGTTTGCGATTTTCAGAGTTGGTTGGAAATGAAGGTTTAGTGTGACAATTTATTATCTAGAGTAGACTTGAAGACATACTTCAAGTCTCCGCGTACATCGTACGGGTTAGGCAAAAGGTGTGCGTTTGACTTTATACTGTCGCATTAATGGCCCTTCGCTCATTTTCAACTTCTATTCAATTTTAATACTGCCGTACTCTAACGGAACTATCCACCTACCCTCTTCTAAAGATCATTCTCTAGCTAATAAATTGTCACACTAAAGCTTCATGTTAGCATTTCCAACCAACTCTTTAATTTGTTCAAGTCTGAGTAACCAAAATGGCAAACATGTATGAATACATTTTTCGCTCAAACGCCCATTAGGCCAAACGTTCTGGCTCCAATTAAAGTTGCTTCAAGATGTACAAAAGCTGACAAATGTTGGCCATGAAAGAGGTCTTCAGGATCTGGAGTTGTGCAGAGTTATTGTTAGCCAACATTTTTCGATTTTACGTGTCTTCTGATGTTCCAGGTGATTTTCGTCAGACCCCTCTTGAAGTTCCTCCCGGATTTCCTGCAAGTTTTTTGGTGTCTCTCGACTTCTTTGAAAGCTTCTATAGAATTCTCCCAAAGCTTTATTTTGACTCTCTCCCTGTATCATTCGACTTCCTCTGGAAGATTTTTCTGATTCTCCCCGGAAGTTTAATCTGACTTCCCTTGGAAGATTCTTCTGACTTACTCTAGAAGTCCCCGGGAAGTGTCTTTAGGTTTCCCCGGAATTTTCTTCCAATTTCCATAGGAAGTTTCTACCAGCGTCGCTCGGTAGTTCCAAAAAGCTCCACTGAAGGTATTTTCTAACTTCTTTGGAAAGTTTTCCTCCTCCCGGAAGCGTCTTTTGAATATTCATCTAACTTCTCTTGGAAGTGGTTTCCGACTTTCCCCCCTGATTTTCTTCTTACGTGTTCCTTCGGATACTATTTCAGACTTCTCTCGAAGTTTCTTTCGACATCCTCTGAAATTTTCCGATGGCTCTGCGTAGCTTATATGCTAGCTATCGGGAAGGTTGTAGGTAGCAAATAACGAATGTCGACCATTAGACATAATAGTAAGTTGTGAATATAATACAGTGCTGTTCGATATAATAGCAGCACATACCGATTTTCATATAAAATTGACAACTTTGACATGTTGTAACTTTGTTTTCTTAAGATCAATTGAGCTGAAACGTTCGTCACAGAACTACTGGTAATTGTATGGTTATTTTTTCCGGGCGACTTCGATGCACTTAGGAGATGTTCATGCTCTTTCTGCAGAAGCAAAGTGCGAGCTTTTCTCTCAACAATTTGCTAGCTTGTTTGAGAATCGTATACCAACTGTGGAGGAGAAAGTTGTAGCTGTTGATCTGGTACCAAGTAACGCGGTTGATCTTGATGCATTGAACATCAACACAGCGACGGTTGAATCAGCTCCACAGAAACTCAAGCAGACTTATCATCCTGGCCCGGATGGTACTCCTTCGTATGTATTCAAAAAGTAGTACACTTTTGGTTGCTCCTCTTCAAGCAATTTTCAACTAATGATTGCAGCAACAATGGTTTCCTTTGGAAGACCTCCCATATGCTTCCAGTGCACAAGAAAGGCGACAAGTTAGATATTTATAAATACCGTGGGATAACTTCCTTGTCCGCTGGATCTAAGTCCCTCGAAACCATCGTCAATGAAGTACTGTTCAGCTCTTGCAGAAACTACATCAGTGCCCCTCAACACGGATTCTACCCTAAACGATCCGTTGACAGCAATCTGTGTGAATCTACGTCTTTTTGCATCGGCACAATGGACGATGGAGCTCAGGTTGATGCTTTATACACCGACATAAAGGCTGCCTTTTACACCGTGAACCACGATATTCTTTTGCCAAGCTACTTCGACTAGGCGTTTCCAGCAGAGTGTGTAATTGGCTTCGTTCGTACTTAAGTAACAAGCAACTCTTTGTTAAAATTGGATCAACAGTGTCAACTCCGTAGAAACCGTAGGTGATAAACGGAATGTCACAAATTATCGTGGAATCACCTCCCTGTGTGCCTGCTCAAAACTGTTCGAGATTATCATAAATGATGCTCTGTTCGCGTACTGCAAAAATTATATCGATACAGAACAACACGGCTTTTACCCGAAGCGCACCGTGTCCACGAACCTGGTGCAGTTTACATCTAACTGTCTGCGATGCATGGATTCAGGATGGCAAGTCGTTGCTGGGTATATGGATCTGCATTTGACACGGTGGACCATAATATCTTGCTGGCCAAGCTGGTGTTACTTGGCGTCTCGTCAGCGGCTGTGGATTGGTTCAGATCTTAATTGGTGAATCGCTATGTACGGGTTAAGATTGGCGCGTCGGAATCGGATGTTTTCTCAAACAACTCGGGAGTTCCGCAAGGCAGTAACCTAGGACCGCTACTGTTTTCGATCTTTTTAAACGACGTCGCCTTTCTGATACCATCAGGATGCCGCGTTTTCCAAGCAGATTATACGAACATCTACAGAGTTATTAAAAGTCTCTCGGGTTGCTGGGATCTCCAGAATATGTTAGGTATTTTTGCTGACTGGTGGTCATAAAATTTGATGAGTCCAAGCATCGAAAAATGTAACATTATTTCTTATCACCGAAAAATCGAGCCAATCATGTTCTCTATGGACGCTGACTTGATCATGTAGAGCGCATAAAGGATCTCGGCGTTTTGAACTGCAGACTCACGTTCAGAATCTACTACAATGACATTATTTTCAGAGCTAAACTTGGGCTTTATTTTCAAAATTGCCGACAAGTTCGGTGACCCGCTATGCCTCAGGTCACTCTACTGCTCGCTTGTGCCTTTTCCATGCTAGCTGGAACACTGGAATTGAATCCGTCCAACGCAAGTTTGTAAGATATGCTCTTCGTTTCCTCAACTGGCGTGACCCAACAAACTTGCCACCGTACGAGGAGCGTTGCCGTCTCCTGGGAATCGAACCATTAGAGGTGAGACGGACGGTCGCTCAAGCTATGTTCGCTGGAAAACTGCTTACGGGTGACATTCAAGGTGACTGTCCAAGACTGCTGTCACAGTTAAATATGTATGTCCCTGAGAGGCCTTTTCATCAACGCGACTTTCTGTTTTTGGAACCACGGCGCCGAAATTATACACAACACGAGCGAATTCGAGCAATCAGCCGGCAATTCAACAACGTCTT